TTTATGCGGTTTGGTGCACACCCATAATATATTATTTTTTTAAGAAGGAAATCAGTTTTTGAATCAATGACCTTTTTGTCTCGTCGAAGGATTTGCGGTTGTAAACTCGCTACTCACGAGTGATCCGCCCCACATTTGTTCGTGGGTGATTAGATTTTAATATATTATTAAAGGGTGAATTATATTTAGAGAAAGTTATAAAAACTTAATAATAATATTTAGAAAAAATTTACAAAAATAGCTAGAACCCTTAGTTCCTTAGTTATTTTAAACAAAAAAAATGAGTTTTTAAAAATAATCATTCAATAAATGGTTGCTAAAGTCACTTGCTATTTGGGCTATGTGAGTTCCGATGTGATTTTCCCTTAGTGGGCTATGAAATCGCCTCATCCCCACCCCAATATTGAATAACTATGAAAAGCCTATTTTTTTTGAAAAAAAAAATACTATAGAATCGTAGATGGCTAAAAGCCTGCGATTGAAACACCTACGATATAACCTTTATTACATGCAATTCTTCTAAAAAATTCGAACACCTCCATATTTTAACCAAAACTAATATATAAACTTATCCTAACTATATATAAACTTATCCTAACTGTATAAAATATGTTTAAAGATGAACAAAACACAAAATATTTACATAACTTATAGCTTTTGGGAGAATATTGTTCTCGAGCCATTAGAGTGAGTAGAGAGGGTTTTCTTTAACTTGAAAGTGTGAAAAGAAAAGTTATTTTTAAATTTTAGGGGTTTACATATTTTGGGCATATGTGCCGAAAACGGCCCAATTTCATAACCCACTATGAAGAATTTATGTGCCGAAAACGGCCCAATTTCATAACCCACTATGAAGAATTTGCATATAATATACGTATATCGTAGGTGACCTTAATCACTTGTGATTTTGACGGCTTAAATTAACAATCTCTTAATTTTTGGTTAGAAATGCCTAAGTTATTAAGGATTTTGACACTAATTTTATCCTATTTGTACTAGTTTAGGGTTTGTGTTTTTATTAGATTTAAGCAAATTGATTTTGGATTTATGGATTTGAAGAAACTAATTTCGCCCAAATTATGATTCAGGGTTTGTGTTTTTCCTAAATTGTTTGCATAAGAGTTTTCAACTAGTTTTTGTGTTTTTTTCTGGATTATTTGCATTTAGGTTGTGTCTCTGTTTGATTGTTTTTTCTGTTGGTTGTGGTCGATGACCGAGGTGTTGTGGTCGTCATGAGAGCTTGAGCATCTGAAATTGGTTTGTTTTAATTTCATTGGTAGTGGTTACCGATTCTTTTATTGGCGGTAAGGTGGTTGTTCTTTTTTTGGTGGTGATTGTGGTGGGACGTTATATATAAATTAATAAATAATAAAAACAAAAAAGAAATCTAATGATAAAAAAAAAAGAAATTAATAAAATTAATAAATTAATAAATAAAAAAAGAAATCTAAAGAACGATATAGTCTTTTTATGTCCGCGAGGGACGAGGATTGCAACAAAATCATACAATAAGAGCGGCTTGAATATAAAAATATTATTGTCAAACGTGTAATTTTGACCAAACTACATTGACGATTTCATTAATTTACTCTTACATAAAAGATAAAAAAATAAAATAAAATAAAATAAATTAAAGCTTAGCCCGTAGACTAAGGTAAGACAAAAATATTTCCATTGATTATTTCAATTTATTATCCTTTTTAAACGATGAAAATGAATTATTTACCTATTCATCAATGCTTTAAAACCCAATTTTTTTGGTTTACCACCGTGTGGTGAATGAATCGTGGGTCAACTGATATGTTTTTTTTTCTTAGATTAAATTTTTAATGTTAAATTGAGTTTTGTAACGATTATGGGTGTACGGTTCAACCAATTTCAGATAAAACTGACCGGTTGAATTTGATTCATTAAAAACAAAAACCCGGTGTTAGACTCTTATTAGTTGACTATTTTTTTTTCATCAGCCATATGGACGTGGTCTTTAAAACATTGCTTTTTAGCAACAACATACAATAGCCGTTGGTTTATATACATCAGAGCAAAATAATTTTGGTGGCAAACTTTCTCATCTACATACTAAGACTATGTTTGGCGTACTAGCTGAAAAGCTAACTGTTAGCTGAAAAGCTAGCTGATAGCTGAAAAGTTAGCTGTTAAATAAAAAGCTAGCTGTTAAATAAAAAGTTAGCTGATAAAAAATAACGTTTGGTAAAACTAGCTGAAATATATAAAATTACATAAAAGGACATGTAGGAGTATGTGTTTCTATAATTAATTAAGAGGTGTATTTGGAAAATTTTAAAAAAGCTCCTAAAAAGCTAGTCTAAGTAGCTTTTCAAAAAGCTAGCTTAAAAGCTACTTTTTGGCTTACCAAACACGACAACATAAAAAAGCTCGAAAAATAAGCTAGCTTATCAGCTAGCTGTGACGCGCCAAACATAGCCTAAATGTCAATGTTTTTTTAAGTATTCTAAAAACATTTTAACGATAATGAAGACATGTGGTTGGTAAGATGTTAGTTAAACCTTTAGAATACGTTGGATTTACTCCAGAGAAACTTAACTGAGTTTTTTAACTACCGTTGTAACTATATAGATTTCATATTAACAAAATATATGCATCTCGATCATAAAAGGATGTATTCCATTTGTTGAGCAAACAAAATTTTAAAAAAGTTAAGAAACGACAATGTGCTATAAACCGTTCACGATTTTCCCTGTAACATAAATACATTTTAGATTTACGCGATTGTATAACTCTTGTTGATAGAACTTTGTACTAGTAGTCTAGTATTGTTGTTACTTGTTAAATATATTGTCTTGGGACGATAAACTTTAATTTTAACAAAGACCTCTGAACACTATGGTCTTACACAAGTAGAGCTGTCAGCTGTGGCAGTAATATCAATCAATGTACATGTGGTCACACAAAGGATGGCCCTACCATACAATCCATACAGTTGCTTCAGAAGATTGATTGTTCCAGAGATCACTCGACCAATCTAATCTTAAGATTCCCTTGGTGTTTGTGGGGGTTCGTAAAGACTTCTAAAAAGATTATGGATTCTCCTCGGTCCAAAATTTCCCTTCACCCACACATTAACACGTGGGCAGGTGATGCCCTGAAGACATAGGGTCTCTTCTTCACCCATTTCATGGGTCCCAAAGGCATTCTTAAGGATTATAAGGCTATAGGGAATGGTAGCACTCTCATAGCACTTTGTGACATTATTTATTTTTTGATTGCCATGTAATATACATACATATAGATAGATATGTATATATTCCCCACCCTAGGCAGCTATAAGCCTTATATAAACCTCCACTCCATCTTGAAACATTCATATTCTTGTTCTATAAACCTTCATATAAATAAATATCAATCTTGAAATCCTACGTAGGTAATCAAGAATTAAAGATATGTCTGGTGTTTGGGTGTTCAAGAATGGCGTGGTTCGACTGGTGGAGAACCCTGGAAGTGATTCCTTTAAGGGTTCTGGTCAACGTAAGGTGTTGGTTCATGTTTCCACAAACGAAGTGGTGACCTCGTACGAGGTGCTGGAAAGAATCTTGTTATCAGTCGGATGGGAGAGGTACTACGATGATCCTGATCTATTTCAGTTTCACAAAAGGTCATCTGTGCACCTAGTTTCTCTCCCTAAAGATTTCAATAAGCTCAAGTCCATGCACATGTATGATATAGTCGTCAAGAATCGCAATGTGTTTGAAGTGAGAGACATATATAGTCACCGAGCTAACTAACCAGCAGCCATGCCAGGCTAGCTAGCTCGTTTATCTGTAAGGATCAATATGTTGTGTTCTTGGTGAATTACTTTCTTATCTCGAAGTTTATTGGTTTGTTTGTTTGTTTATTTCCTGTGATGGGTCGTATGAGTCAAAGTATCTCTGTTGACTAACTAAGTCCAAGTTTGGCTTTGGGTCTCCTCAAATGATGGAGTACATGATCGATGTGGTTGGAGTTTATTTTTTCTAAGTTTAATTTAAGAAGCTAATTGCGTACAGTTCAATGGTTGCATGCATGATGGTCATGTATCAGTAAATCTCGTATGCTGTTTACTGTTAATCTAAATCCAATTTCTCTATGTGTGTGTATGTCAGATTTTTTTTTTCCTCCAGCGAATGGACTTCTTATACAGCGTCTTAATAAGCTATTTAGTCGTTCTTTTTTCTTTTGTGAAAATATTTTGGCAAATATGTTGGAATTTTTCTTTCTTTCTTTTTTCTTTTGTGAAAATATATTAATGGGCAAATATATATGTTGGAATTTTTTTTGGGGTTTTCACGAATATTTGATTTTCAATACGACCATTCTTTAATTATGAATGAAAATCACAAAAACTTTTATTATACTAACAATATGCACCATCATTAAAAAATAATAAACTTATTAAAACTAAGGGTTGCACCCTGTACAATGGATCCTGAAAATGATTTATAAATGGGGAAAAAATAGTAATATAGTTTTGTTAATTTGTTTACTGTAGCATTCTATTTTTGTTTCTTCTTGTTATTTTGAAAAATCGATTAGTAAACATGAAGTGCAAGTTATTTTTTAAAAAGCACCCAAAATTCACTGAAGCTCGTATTTTCATTGATTTTGACAATTGAGCCCAATTAAACCAATATCATATAAATACAAAGCAATTGTCAATTTGTCATTGCTATGATTCGGTATAAAAAAATAAATGACTGTATAACTGAATGAAATGAAGTTATAAGAACTTATATAGGTACAGACAAAGTTAAAATATGAATATACAAAGAAAGTCAAAATTGAAGCTTATATGTGTCACCAAGGATGTTGACCATCATTCCATCAAGTTAATTCTTGATGTTAAATTCCTGCAAAACCCCGTGTTAGGTGGTAATGGTGAGAACAGAATGGACATTCAACACACACAAATCAGACTCACCAAAACGAATTTAAAAAAATATTGTAAAAAGGGAAAATCTTAAAATACATGCATAAAAACAAAGATGTAAGAAGAGTTGGAGATACTACTTGTAGAGTGTAGACGGATCTACTTTTCTCAATATTTATCAACCTTTACATCATTCTGCACATTAGTAACATAAATTATATATGTAAATATAAGTTTTCTAAGATTCTTCTTCTACTATGCTGTTGAGTACTACTTGTTCCTCAAATTCATCTAACTTATTTAAATATCAATACTACCTTTCGACGGGTGATCGATACATAGTTTCTTTAATATAAACTTCAAATTGCTGGAGATGATCGAAGAAATCTTGCAACATGGCTTGACTGATATAGTTGGTATTTGATCTTGGGAATTTGTGTCCGTTATCAGGGATGTTATTAGCAAGAGTAAAATGACTTTCTTGTGTATGTATAAAAGAGAGCATTTTGCGACACAATACACATCTAAGTTTTTGTTTGGGCAAATCATCAAACACTTGGCATGCGGTATGAAAAAAGTGTAACTTACAAACAAAGAGAGATGCTTTTACCTTGTTAACAACAAAATTATTCAATGGTTACATTAAAAGAGGGAGCGCTTGTAGTACACATGAACTCTGGGATGCCAAGAGAAGTCAGGGGGGATATGGTAAGACTAAAAATCTTCACAGATTCAGAAAAGAATAAAAAGTAAAACTCTTGGGCCTCTTACCTCTAGAAACACAAACACGACCGAAATAGACCAAAAGCTAGATTAAAGGGAAGATTTAAAGCCTCACCAAGAATTTGGGAAGGGTTTGAAAATTTCTTTGAGTATTTGAGTTTAGAAAGCAAGAGGTGGCAAACGGGAGGAGAAGAGATGTTGCACTGAGATGAACCGAAGGTAGCAGGAGGTGGTGGAAAGAGAGCTAGGGGTTGGGGAAGCAGATCGTTGGTAATTGTTATTAAAAAACTGTATAAAGTTAAATTTTAACAATTACGTTTCAACAAACAGTGTTTGGTCCTATAAAAATAAAAGTAGTGTGGCAGTTATATCAATCAACGTCTGGTCCAAAGGATATGTCCTACCATAAGATCCATACAGTTGTTTCAGAAGCCTGTATCGATCCAGAAACCACTGTTGTCTTATAAAGCCTTGGAAAAAGATTTTGGATTCCCCTCCGTCAAAACTTACCCTTCCCCACACATCAATCAACACGTGGGCATGTGATGCCTTGAAGACAAAGGGTCTCTTCTTCATCCATTCATGGGTCCCACCGCACTATCTTAAAGATTGAGACGTATATATTCGATCTCCACCCTAGGGCAGCTAGAAAACCCTTATATAAACCTCCACTCACATCTTCAAACATTCATATTCTTGCTGATTAAGTATCATACAAAACCTTAATCTTTAATTCCTACGTAGGAAACTAAAAGTTAAAGACATGTCTGGTGTTTGGGTCTTCAAAAATGGTGTGGTTCGACTGGAGAACCCTGGAAGTGATTCCTTTCAGGGATCTGGTCGACGTAAGGTGTTGGTTCATGTAGCCACGAATGAAGTGGTAAGTTCGTATGAGGTGCTGGAAAGAATGTTGTTGTCATTCGGATGGGAGAGGTACTACGATGATCCTGATCTCTTTCAGTTTCATAAAAGGTCAACTGTGCACCTAATTTCTCTCCCTAAAGATTTCAAAAAGCTCAAGCCCATGCATATGTACGATATAATCGTCAAGAATCGGAATGTGTTTGAAGTAAGAGATATATAGTCACCTAGCTAACTAACCGGCCATGCGGAGCCCTGGCAGGCTAGCTAGTTGGCTCGTTATTAGTTAGGATCATTATGTTGTGTTCTTGGTTTATTGGTTTGTTTGTTTCATTCTGTGATGGGTGTGAGTGAAAGTACCTCTGCTGACAAAGTAAGTCCAAGTTGGGTTTCGGGTCTCCCCAAGAATGTTGGAGTACATGATGCAGTTGAAGTTTGAATTTTTTTTAGGGTTTAAGAAACTAATTGCTTACAGTTCAAGGGTTGCACGATGATAATGTGCCTGTAAATCTTGTATGGTATTTTCAGTAATCGAAATCAAGTTTCTGTGTGTAACTATGTGTGTGTATATATATATATATATATATATATATATATATGTGTGTGTGTGTGTGTGTCGCAGGTGCTGAGCACGTCTATATTGATGCAACATTTTCTCATAGCAAGGAAAAACCATTATCTTTCTTCCATAAAAGATAAGTCTTGTTTAGTGGTCCAAGCTTATGCTCACATGATAAGCAGTCAATTTTAATCCCGATATACCTAAGATTCTCAGTTTAAATTTCTTTAAACATGTGGGCAATATATGCTTACGAATATTAGCCGACATTTAGAACCTAATAGACAATATTATAAAAAAATACAAAACAAAACAAAAATCCTATTAGACAAATGTTATAATTGTCTTTGGAGAGGAGATATTGATTCCTACGTTGCATATAGGACGGTATATTGGAATCGATCAGCCACTTACACAACTCATTCGGCCAAAACAATGTTGATATCAATAGCTTTTCCACACTTCTAAACATTAGATGGTTATTGGCTTGCGTACATGATTGATTTATACTACTTCGTACCTTAGATGAAGATGTTGGTGATTTTAGTGTTATCAACATATTTTAGTATAATTATTATTAATAATGAGATAGACTGAGTTTCATTTACTAACCGAGTTTAGAGGTGCGGGGTACACACTCGGTGTAATAATTGTGTATGGGGGCAGCCCCCTTAGGTGCATGGTTCCAAGGGGCTACAACCCGTTGGTGAGGTCTAGGGGCAACGCCCCTAGTGGGGTCCAAAGGACAGAGCCCCTGACGGTGACATCACAATGATTTCTCACCAATTATAAGCTCTAACCATGCATTTCCCGCCAATTATAAGTGATGACATCATAGTGATGTCAGAATCGTTTATATCTTATAACCATATATCCATCCACTTGTTTTGGCGCCAAAATTGCATGTAACTACCACCAACTACTTTTTCTCTTGTATAAGAACATATTGCATGTTCCAAAAAACGGGTTAAAAAAACATACTCTCAAAAATTATACTTCTGGTTCTCTTTATCTCTAAAGAACATAAAACAACAAGGTATATTTTTATGTTTTTCGAATTTGGAAGTGGCATGATTTCCAAATTGCATATCTCAAATCAGATTTCATGATACCCCATGCACAAGGGTCGAAATCACAGATTTTTGAAAGTGATTACAATCACGATCCCATACATTATCCAAGTTAACTGATATATATATATATATATATATAATATATATATATTATATATATATATATATATATATATATAGATATATATATATATATATATATATATATATATATATATAGAGAGAGAGAGAGAGCTACGTTCAAATGTTTTAACTAAGTATTGTGTTATTGTATACATAAATATGGACCAATCATTTCAAAAGGGTAAATATGTAATCTTATATTTAATTAATTATGGTAAATATATAAATCAATTAATATCCCTTTAATTTAGGAATATCAGTTTTAAAACTTAATATATATCCTCACGTCCACCTCTTCTCTCTTCTCTTCTATTCATCGTCGCCCCCAACCTTTTCCCTCTCATCTCCCTCTTGTACACCATCAGTAACCATCGAGAAACCTTCATCGGATTTATCATCTTCTTCCTTTAAACACCACCGATTTCAGAATCGGGAAAAACTATTTACCCAATCGAGGTCTTTTAGATCCAGATTATTGCCCACCATAACTCTATGTTTTACCAAAAGAAACACCATTGCCATCTCCAGAACCAATCGCAG